GATTCTTCACAATGCAGGTCAGCCCATGCCTTTCTTGTGCTCAAAAGCTTTCAATGGTTTTTGACAACCCGCTTGTCGTAAATACCAGAGCTCTTGGGATAGTTCACAAAAGGCCCTTGTTTTCTCTCTGAGCTCATCTCCCACTACATGCTGTCAGTCACTCTGCCCCAGCCCAACCGCCTCGTGCTGTTCTACCAAGACATCCAGCAGGCTCCTGCCGCGGGACGTTTGCTCTGATTTCCCCTCTTCCTACAAGACTCTCTTTCTATTTAAGGTCTTTGAGCTCATCCCTGAGCAGAATCCCACCTTCCACCTCCTCCACCTGCCTCTCTGATTCTCTTCCCTTGCTTTATTTTTTTCTCAGAATATTTACAACCATTCTACATAGTGGATACTTCATGGCTTATATATTTATTGTCGGTCTCCCCTGATGGGAGAGCAACATCCACAGGGACAGGAATTCCTCTCTGTTGTTTTCTGTTCCACCCCTGGTACCTAGAACAGTGCCAGGCACCAAAAAGACACTCAAATGTTTTTTTGAACATTGAGTGATTTAAATGCATGTGTCTTCTAACTAGTGACTTTAGTATATTACATTTAAAGTGTTTACTGATTTCAAAAGGTGCATCTACCATCTTATCACGTATTTCCAATTGTTTTTCTCATCTTCATATTTTCTTAATTGACTGAGGTTTCTTCTTTCCATTTTGTTTTTTCTTTTCTCTTTGTTTGGAAGGTGGGTGTGCTAATGTCTATCTTTTCACTATCTCAACTTCTAATACCAGAAGTGTATTCTGCTTATTTTTGAACTTTATATTAATGAAATCACTTAGTATGTACTCTTTGGGGCCAACTATTTTCATTCAATATCATATTTGTCAGATTCATCCAATTTGTTGCATGTAGTGGTAACTTGTTCATCTCCAGGACTGTCTTCTGTTCTTTTAACACACTATAATTTATTCTTTGTACTTTTGATGGTCATTTGGACAGTTTTTAGTTTGGAGCTATTATGAAAAGTTTAGCTATGAATATCTTGTATATGTATTTTGGTGAATTAAAGTATGCATTTATATTGGGTATTATACATAGGCACAGAATTGGTGGGTCATAGAATTTGCATATGTTTAGACTTAATACCTTAAATGGTTTTCCAAAATGATCATCCCAATCGACATTCCCCACTGAGACTGAAATTTCTGCATCCAAGCCTGTCTAGGCTTTCTGGTAGGTGAACCTCCCTCGTTTTGTTGAACACAGTATGACTTGATGACTGTTGCTTGCGATCAGAACCGATTAACGCGAAGGCAAAATACAACCCGAGAAAAGTAAATGAATGATGCCACATATATTATCTCATCAGTGTGTCAATGACATGGGCCTCCGAGGACAATGGGAGCCAGCAGATAGAAAAAGAAAAGAATATGCCTTTGCTGATACCTGTCCCGTGACATGTTGTTGATCCTTCTAACAGTCCTGTGAAGTTCATGTTAGGATCCCTGTTTATAAATGAAGAAACTGACCTGCAGGAAGATGAACTCATGTTCCACACCGCAAGTAGGTATCAGAGCCTAGATCTGAACTCGAGTTCTCTACTTCTAAGTTCAGTGTTCTTTCCACCATTGCACAGCTGCCTTGCTAGGGCCGCTTACTTGGTACATAACAGACACCCAATGTGTGTGTGTGTTAAAGTGTTGGCCGTGCTTAGTTAGCTCTAGGACAATTAGGTAATGATGAAGAGGTCAGGAAGAGATGAAGCTTACCATGACCTTGGGGGTTCTTGGCCAGCTTCGGGCCCTCAGGGGGGGCCTTCGTCTGGGTAACATCAGCCGTGGCATCCTGCTTCCCAGCCAGCACGTTCCTTCTGCCTCGCTGGACGTTGGTCATCTGGCTTTTCCCAGGTGTCCCTGCACAGGCATCTACCTAAATATTCAACAGGGAGAGGACTGCAGGACTCTGACTTACCCAGTCAGTTCTTGGCTAACTCATGCTGCCCTTCATTCGTTCATTCCTCATGGGTAACAGTTATTTTCATTTATTTAATGCCTCTTAGGAGGCTCTAAGCTTCCTGAGAGTGCAGACCAGGTCCTTCACTTACCTCTGAGTGGGCACTGAATGCCTGGCACGGAGGCAGAGCAAGGAAGGCAGTCAGGAGATAATGGAGTTCTGACAACAGGGCAGCCTCTTTGTATATCGTAGCCCAATCCTCTTGCCACCCCGTGAGGAAAATATCACTAGTGCTCTTGACAAAGAGTGCAGAGAGGTTTAATAACTGCTCTCTGATCCCACAGTGAGTATGGACTTGACTCCAGAGCCCTGTGCTCTTGGCTGCTCAGGGATCGTCTGTATCCTTCTGTTTTTCTTTTTTGCCTGGTTTTGTGTCTTCCCACCCACCATCCTTCTGTTCCTTCTCCTCTTTCTACCCTCCTTCCCTCCAGCATCTGTCACTTACTAAAGGCAAGAGATCCTGCCACACTCTAGAAGTAGAACGATGTGGTAGACAGAGCATCTTACATAAGGTCACAGAGACAGCACACACACACGATTAGTTAGGGGGTCACATGAGGAGGGTTGTGTACAGCAGCATTGCTCACGGCAGCAGGACAGGGAGGTTGGTTCTCCTGGCTGGGAGAAAGGGTCAGAAAATACTTCAAACAGCAAGTGTTTTTAAGCTGTATTTCTAAAATGCACGTAGGAGATTGATAGAGGGGATAAAGGAGTTCCGGGGAAAGCACATCAGCTTAAGCAAAGGCATGGGATATGTCCACACCAGGGCAGCATGAGGGGGCTGCAGAGGGAAGGGCTGTAGGAAAAAGGTGAAGAGATGGGGAAGAAAGACCCAGGATGAGGCTGAGGAGAGCAGAGGCAAAGGGGCTGAGCTGTGGAGGGTCTCACATGCCAGGCAAAGAGCTCAGATTTTAACCATGGAGAGAGTGGCAGGGGGTAAACCCAATCACATTTACATTTCAGAAAGATCTGGATAGACTGACGGAAGAGACGCTGTAGACATAGAAAACGAAAACATTTTTGGCCATCTAAGTGCCTTCTAATTGTCCAATGAGGATGATGGGAGGGACACTGTCCTTCTGACTGTGATGGAGTAGATGTGACTGGGATAATGCGTTTGAAGTACAGAAGAAGCTCTGTAAGATGGATTACCCTGAATTTTTGGTGGCATCTTGGGCAAACTGTGAGCAGAACAAGAAGGGCATTCTTTTCAGTCACACAGCCAAGATTGAAGTTTTTAAATGAGAAAAAATGACAAGGAAGCAATAAAGTCAATATTTTACGTAAATATAGTGACCACCATCATTCCACACAGTCCTTTAATGAACTGCAGTCCCTCGTTCATCTCCCATGTCCCAAATAATGCTTAAAAATTTCTTTCTTTTTTTTTTTTTTTAGAGACAGAGTTTCACTTTGTTGCCCTCGGTGGGGTGCTGTGGTATCACAGCTCACAGCAACCTCCAGCTCTCGGGCTAAGGTGATTCTCTTGCCTCAGCCTCCCGAGTAGCTGGGACTATAGGTGCCCACCACAATGCCCGGCTATTTTTTTTTTTTTTGAACCCACCACTCCCAGGATATGGGGCTGGCGCCCTACTCACTGCTCACTGAGCCATAGGCACCGCCCAGTGCTCAAAAATGTCTAAAACTCAAACCCACTCCATAAAAGAGGCTGCAACCCTTTGGCAGTAGTAGCCTGACCCGTTCCTGCCTCATGCCATACAGTCGACCTTGAGGAAGGGCAGAATTCTTCCTTTTCATGGCCACTATCCCTAGTCCTATCTCTCTACCCTACCCAATCTCCAGCCTCCATACCCATCATGGTCTTGCCCATCCCCCTGGCCTTGACATGCAGTATTGCTCCCCTGGCTCTGGGCTCTTTCTGTTTTTCCTTCCCTTCTCCCTTTCTCTTTTTTTCCTTCCTGTCTTCCTTTTCCCTTCTTCCCTTTTCCTTCCTCTACTTCCCTCCCTCCCTCCCTTTCTTCCTTCATACCTTCCTTTTCTTTAGCTCTGTTGCCCAGGTTAGAGTGCTATGGCATCAGCCTAGCTCACAGCAACCTCCAACTCCTGGGATCAAGCTATCCTCCTGCCTCACCCTCTTGAGTAAGTGGGACTACAGGCACCTACCACAATGCCCAGCTAAGTTTTTCTATTTTTAGTAGATACAGGGTCTTGCTCTTGTTCAGGCTGGTCTTGAACTTCTGTGCTCAAGTGATCCTCCTGCCTTGGCCTCCCAGAGTGCTGGGATTACAGGGTTGGCACAGTGCCTGGCCTGGACCCTGACTTTCTTAATTAGGGACTCACTGAATCCTTTGAATTATGCTTATTTGCAGATATTCTTGAGGGTCCTGTCTGATTTCTGGGCCTACACAGCAGCTCAGGCCTATGCCATCAGCAGGCTATTTGATTTACCCAAGCCCCGTAGCTGGCACTGAGGAAATCTGATATTTAGAGATAGACAAGTCTCAAGCAAGTTATCTGTGGTGTATTGGGCACTGGCAGCAGCCCTGGTGGTGTCTTGTCTAGGCCTCCCACCACACTAACTACTCTGAAGGCAATAGTGGCAACTGCATGTGGACGTACACACACGTTCCCCGTGTTTAATGTTAATAAAAGCAAGGATAATACATTTAATTTTTGTGGTAGCTTGTGGCTTACAAAGCACCTTCCTGCTTACTAATCATCTTATCATCACAGACAAGGTGGAACAGGGAGCAGAGTGGGGATGGTGGCTGGATAGGGATTATTTACTGTCATTTCACAGATGAGATGACTGAGCTCAGAGATAACAGGCTTGCTGTTCCAAGCAAGGCCTTGGGGGCACACAGTTTAGGGCGGTCCTCACTCCAGGGTTATGCAGATGCTGGGCGGCCCCTGCACGGAAGCCTGGCTCTGTGTTTCCCTGTCTTGGAACTGGGGGGAATTCAGTGGAACTCACGCTCGTCCCAGCCCTGCTCCTGAGACCTGCTGCATGGCGACTAAGTGGGAGATGGGGCCAGAGCTCAGTGCCACTATCACATTCCCGTCTCTGGTGCAGTGCTCAGCACCCACTGTATCTTTTAACTCTGTCTCTTTGTGTGTCTCAAGCTCTACCAAGTCACCCCCATAAACAGTGTGTTACGTGTCTGAACTCTACCATTTGGTCAGGAGCCCCAGGACACATGTACCTTGAAAGTACAGTTTAAACATGGCTCCTTTTCTGTTTTCAGAGGTTCTAATTCACATGGCTGTTGATTCTTCATTTTCTTATCTTCATCTTCATGTTTAGGGCTGAAACGACAAGCGATGCCAGGGAGAAAGTGAAGATGACAGTACTTAGTGATGGTGTACTGCTCAATCATAAATGACATGGATGGGAAATACTAAACAGACACGAATCATTCTTTAAATGGACTACGATCAGATCAATCATATAATAGCTTCCCTGAGTTTCTGCCTGCTCCAGTCAATGTCAGAACATCAATTCCTGCTTGAATCTTCTACATACCTCATTGCCGACTATCGCTGTGGTCACCTTTGAGTGACTCTCCTCGGCCAACTGGTGACTGCAGTGATATTCGGCGATGAGGTACAGAGCACTTTTCCTAGGATGAGTTTGTGAACTTAATTGTCAAACCTCGTACGATGACAGCTCTGATGGCCATTCTCAAAAAAGAGTTCCAAAACTGCCTTGAAGGGTGGTCTAGGTCCTGCTGTTTGGGCATAGGTGTCCCAAGGGAGGACCTCAAAGGTGACCCTCGTGATATTCAGCACTGAGGCGTGTAGAACTTTTTCTAGGATGGGTTCACAAACTTAATTGTCTGTCCTCATATGTGTAGATTCCTTACTGTTTAATGTTGTCTTTGCTCACATTCTTCCTCATGCCTAGAACATATGTTCCATCATTTCACCTGTTCAATTCCTAGACTGCTTCCAAGAGTCAGCTCGGTGTCACTCTTCAAGGAAGCGACTTGGAGCCTCAAGGCTGGTTCTCATGTCTCTCTTCTGTGTCTTCATAACTTCCAGAGCTGGGATTATATTATATAATATTACGTGATACTATAATTTCCTACTTGTGTGGTTATTTTACTCAACAAGGAACTTCCAAACTCAACCATCCAAGCTTCCCCTCCTACCTTGAACCAAGGGTAGGGGATATATATTCTGTTCATTTTGTACCTCAGAATCTAGTGGTGTCTGAATGGAGTAAAAGCCCATGAATGCTGAACTAAACAGTCATTTGATGTGTGCCTACCAAGTACCTGGCAGTGCTGAAGGGTAATTATGAAGGTCATGCTTTAGATTTGGGCAGGGCCTCGGGGAGAGAGATGAAAGCTGCCTTCTCAGCTGGAGTGGCTTCCTCCATCATTCAGCACTTACATTTTTAAATTCAACCAGAACATTTTGATCCTTGCTTCTCCAGAGCTCAGCAACCATGTTTCTTCCAATGTGTTAAAATAACTCCAGGGGAAGAGTGAGAAAAGGCAGACTCTGTTCATTTATTTGTTTTTGTTTGTTTTTTTGAGACAGTCTCACTCTGTTTTCTAGCCTAGAGTTCCCTGCATCACAGTTCACAGCAACCTCAAACTCCTGGGCTCAAGTGATCCTCCTGCCTCAGCCTCCTGACTACTGTGTTTCCCCCCAAATAAGACCTACCCAAAAAATAAGCCCTAGCAGGTTTTCTATGCATTTGTTAAATATAGGCCCTACCCCCATAATAAGACCTAGTGATGGGCGTGGCTATGCAGTGTATCAGCATAATAATTAGTATGTCACTGCAGGTAATTTCTTTACTAATTAGTAAAGAATAATTACCTGTAGTGACAGCATATCTGCATAGCCATGCCATGCATTTTGGCACAGAGGTAAGACATCCCCTGAAAATAAGCCCTAGTGTGTCTTCTTGAGAAAAAATAAGTATAAGACAGTGTCTTATATTCGGGCAAACACGGTAGCTGGGACAATAGGCACCTGCAACCCTGCCTGGCTACACTTTCTATCTCTTGTAGAGATGGGGTCTCTTGTTCAGCCTCATCTTGAATTCCTGAGCTCAAGTACCTGCTTTGGCCTCCAGAGTGCTAGGATTATAGGAGTGAGCCACTGTGCCCAAAGGGGCAGGGGAGAGCACTGCTGTGTGTCAGGGCACTTCCTTGGGATGAGGAAGTGTGCAGAAGTACCAGTATCGTCGAGAACAATAAAACATGAACCCTGCCCAAAAGGACCTCCCAGGCATGAAGGAGAGAGGGAGGGAGGGCATTGACCAGCACGTTAGTAAAGAAACTACACGCAGTGACATTCTGCAAACACGTGTACCTTATAGCAGTACCATGGATGGGCAAGGGACTGAGTACTTCTCTTCTGAGGACTGGAATCCAGGAAAGCTTATTACAAGAGGGGCTGCTTGATGGATCAGCAAAAGTTTGCCAGGTTATTAACTCAACGTGAATTAATGAATGAAATGAGCAATGGTAGAGTCTTGAAACCACATGGCTGGCGTGTGGTAGAAATGGTTGTGCAACCCTCCCATCAATCCAGGAGCTGCTGGGGGCAGTGACTAGTTTCTGCCACGGCTGCAGCCCCAGTAAGTGGTGAGCAAATGTCTGGTGCATGCTGGGTACTCCATAATTATTTGCTGAGTGAGCACAGCATGGGCTAGAATGAGTGAGAGGAGAAGACAGGATCATGGATCACCAGGCACCTTCCAAGGTACTGGGGAAATGGAACCAGACCAGGCACTGGAAACACAGCCAGCCCGGAGATGAAAAGGGGCCTAGTCATTGGAGGGTCAGTGGCAGGACTAATGCTTTTCCTTTCGAAGATAAAACTTACCTAAGTTCTTGGTGGAAAAAATTCTTCCAAGGCTGAAAGCAAAGAGGAGAATGGTTATTTTCATAAAAATCAACCCAAATCAGGCTTTGTTGTTTGGTTACAGATCAATAGAGACTAGAGTGCCCAGAAAGTGTGCCTTGAAGATCTGGTCATTTGCTTGATAGCAAAGGATATACACATCTGAACTGTGCCAAAGAACTCTTCTCTGTGAAAGGCACAATTATCAAAGCCTGTGGCGTGGCACTGGCCACTACAGGTCAGGGGCCAGGGATAGATCAGCACCATGTCCCATCATCCAATGACACATTTCTGTCTCTGATGTTACTGAAGTCTGGAAAAGCATTAGAAGCCGGAGGAAAACCAAAAATAAAGATCTTTTCTCCCTTATAAAAGAAACCACCGTCAACCCCTGTACACTTATTTTGAGTTATAACATTGGTAAGGAAAAAAGAAACAATACCTTTTGGAGTTCTTCAATTCCAACTTCGTAGGTTGCTAAAATAAACATAAAAACATTTCAAGACAGTTTATCCATCCATTTCTTACAGTACCCAAGATTTAGGCAATTCATAGAGTGCAGAGTTCAGTTTTCAGAACCCGTAAGACTCTTGTCTATGCCAGGCTCCATCTACGTGTTTCAGAGCATTGTGGGTGGTTTTAACTTCTGTGGGGGTTTCCAGGATGAGATTTACAGCCCATGAAAACACAGGAAACCAGTTTTCAGTTCTGGTAAATACATACTCCATGCTTAGAAGAAAGCACTGAAATTTAGTGGTAGCAATCAGAAGACCAACTTGGAAGGAAAGGAGAAAGGGCTAGAACGAGCCTGAATCCCACTTCAACAAAATGAATTCCGTATCCTGCCCCAAAGCATTTGGAGCATTTTGTGGTCTTAAATCCAGCTGGAAAAGAGGAGCCCACCAGCTAAGGCTCAAATACCTTTTGAGGCAGGGCTTGGTGGCTCACACCTGTAATCCCAGCACTCTGGGATGCCTAGGAGGGTGGATTGCCTGAGCTCAGGATTTCCACCAAGATTGAGACCCTGTCTCTAAAAATATAGCTGGGTGTTATGGCAGGTGCCTATAGTCCCAGCTACTTGGGAGCCTGAGGCAAGAGAATCACTTGAGCCCAAGAGTTGGAGATTGCTGTGAGCTCTGACACCATGGAACTCTGCCAAGGGTGACAAAGTGAGACTGCACCGCCCAGGCCGAGGCAGTGTGATCATTGCTCACCACAGCTTGGAACTCCTGGCATCAAGCAATCCCCCTGCCCGAGCCTCCTGAGTCATTGAGATCACAGGCATGAGCCACCTCGCCTGGCTTTTATTTTTTACTTCTGAAATGTTCCTTCGGTTTTTCTTTACATCTGCTATTTCTTTGTGGAAACATTCTATTTCTTTAGTAAGACTGTTTTTGCCCCCATCTGTTTCAAGTATATCTATAATTACTCACTGAAGTATTTCTATAAAAATTGCCTTAACATCTTGGTCAGGAAAAAAAAAATTTTTTTGGATGACTATGAGGGTACACATGATTAGGTCACATCATCTGCATTTGTGCAAAATTCTAAGACTTTAGTCGTCTCAGTTTTGGCATCTATTGATTTTTTATTCCAGCTCCATCTATTAGAATGAAATACCACAAACTGGACGGCTTATAGACCACAGAAATTTATTTCTCACTGTTCTAGAGTCGGGAAATATAAGACCAAGATGCTGGCAGATTCAGTGTCTGGTAAGGACCTGCTTTCTTGTTCATAAACTGCTGTCTTCCCACTGGGACCCACGTGGAAAAGAGCAAAAGCCATCTCTCTCTCTCTCTCTCTGTCTCTCTGTCTGTCTCTCTCTATATCTGTCTCTCTGTCTCTCTCTCTCTCTCTATCTGTCTGTCTCTCTCTCTCTCTCAGCAGTAATCTCATTTGTGAGGCCCCACCCTGTGACCTCACACCATAAGGGGTGTCCCACAGCCGCCATACTAGGACAAAATGGAAAATTGAGGCTAAATGGACCTTTATTTATAAAATATTCACAGAATAGTCTCTACACGTTGGGCACCTCTTTCTACCCACACACGAAGTCTTTTCTCCCCTGCATGACAAACTCGTCCCCTGATATCTGTTATTATAATTGTCCCTGTATACGGAGACTTTGGGAACATCCTGTCGTAATTACCTGTCAGAGATGCCACCTCCCAACACCATCACATTGGGGGGAGGATTTCGACATACGTGTTTAGGGAGAAACGAGCCCTGGTCTGTAGCATGACCCAGGTGAGGAAAGACCCTCCATGCTGCCAGGCAGGGGTGGGAGCTCTGGCTGTCCCCTATGTCCTGCTGATGACACCCTGCTGGGAAGGGTGGGCCTGCCCCGCTGCTGCTCCCCACAGGGACAGGGTGGGCTTCTCACTGCAGGCTGGTTGTGGACATCCTCCTGGCTTGGTCTCCTCAGACACCATCCCAACAAGAAGGAGAAAGGGTCTCGTTCCTGCGGGGAGGGGGGTGGAAGTCCAGGTCCCCTCTCGGGTCTTCACGGATGCTGTGGGTGGAGTTTCATTACCACCTGGCAGGGATGACAATCTCAGCTGATGAGCGAGCGTTGGCTTTCCACCACCCCCATGGAGGAGTTGGGGTGCAGCTCTGCACCCTGGTGAGGTGGAGGTGCGGGCTCCCCCCTCAGCATTACTGTCGGTGGTGCCGCAGCTTTTTTCTATGATGTTTGGCTGGAATAGATCAGTTACTACCTAGACGCTTTCTGTATTTCTAGCCTGCCCTTTTCCTGGTCCCTGCTAGATACCAGGCATCTGCCTGTAGACCAGCAGCACAGCTCCCTGCATTGTCCAGGAACAACTCAGGATTGCAGAATCTCAGGCCCCACCCCAGAATCTCAGGCCCCACTACACCAGAATCTACCTTTTCACAAGCTCCCTAGGCGACCTGTGTGGACAGTGGAATTTGCGAAGCTGGCTCTAAAGCAGGGGTCTGGATTCTTTTTTTTTTTTTTTTTGAGACAGAGCCTCAAGCTATCCCCCTGGGTAGAGTGCAGTGGCATTACAGCTCACAGCAACCTCCAACTCCTGGGCTCAAGCGAGTCTCTTGCCTCTGCCTCCCAAGTAGCTGGGACCACAGGCGCCCGCCACAACGCCCGGCTATTTTTTGGTTGCAGCCGTCATTGTTGTTTGGCGGGTCCGGGCTGGGGATTCGAACCCGCCACCTTAGGTGTACATGGCTGGCGCCTTAGCCGGTTGAGCTATAGGCGCCGAGCCTGGGGTCTGGATTCTTTGCAGATAAGGCACCATCGCCTTCTGGGGTGGGGAGAGGAGGAATCGCTCTTCTTCCAGCCAGTATTTCAGCAGCCAAATGGGAAATTCTAGATTTTTCTAAGTCTAGAAGAAAGGAAGTTTTTCCAATCGTTCTCCAATGTCTCTTTCTTGAGGGAGGAGAAGGATATTTCAACAGGTCCTGATGTGTTTTGTTCCTCATGAACTTCCTAAGTGTATATTCCCAGGAAAAGGATTTTCTTTCCCAGCACTCTGGGCTTCTCATCTGTGTAACAGTGGTTTAACCAGATGATCTCTTTATAACCCTCCCTCCAGGGAAGCCAAACGTCATTGAATGAAGGCAGCGTAGGTATCAGAGGTGGGAGAGCGGGTTTCACCGTATAGCTGTCTGCGGATTATTGCCCAACTCTGTCTCCCTGATCTGCAGTTTCCTGCCTCTAACAGAGGGGTGGTAAAACCCTCTATCCACAGGGATGAGCCCAGACAGCCCCACACAGACCTGTGGCCCAGAGTACAGGCTCAGTCAATACCAGCGTTCACTCCAGCACTAACACATCTGCCTTTTGTAGAGAACTGCCTGATTCTGTGGACAGAACAGACATTGAAATGTGAAGGTCTGAGCAGCAATGGCAGAGGCAGGGAGATGTAGCTGTGAGCCGGTGGTCAGATCCATTAAATAAACCTCTGCTCCTATTCAGTCTGGACACGGGGGCCTAATTGTCACGGCCTTTATCTCCCTGTCCACACACAGAGTAACCAGGTGAGAAAGACACCATGAGAAGGGAGATGGAGTTTCTAAAGAAAGGCAGAAAAATTAATCGGCATATCTTGATTTTTCCCTCCCATATCCACAAAAGGCTGAGCAGCAAAGTCGACTGGGGGAGAGGAGGACAGAGGAGGTGGCAGCAGTGGCCGGAATCCTGAGCTAGCATTGAAGTCCAGCTGGACTTATTTAGATTTTTAAGAGACCAGACAGGGGGAAAAAAAAATGAGATGGTAGACCAGGATGGCTGAGAATTTTTAAACTTACAGTTAGCTAGAGGGAAAAATACCATTTTTGACACATTTTGATTCCACACAGGGCTACGATATTAATTGGCTCAGCAGACTTACAATCAGCAATTTCTTTTGCAGGGCACAGGTTAACGGAGTTGCCGGAGTGTTTCAGAGATGAAATTGTTGCCTCGTAATTATGTGGTTCTTCAAATTCAGCTCTGAGAAGCATGGAGGGAGGAAAAAAAAAAGGTTACTTAAAATGTAACATTTCTTTAAACACATTTAATGCTTTTTGTGTTTTTTCCTCATTAGAGAAGTAATCGGGTCTGGCCAATACGTTGACCTAAGCCGATATGGAAGGCACATCCCACCCCCTGCTCTAAAGGCACAGGAATTCTGGATGAAATGTAACAATGCGAAGAACTGTATAAAGATTACATAGCTCTCAAAGAAACGATAAAGTCGCATCCTCGGGTGACAGACATGGAGGGGAAACTCACAGGTAAAGATGCAAGTGGCAATAGAAGTCAAGGGAGTTAAAGGGAAACTGAGGCCAGATAAAGAGCGTCATCACTGACAGGGCATCTGGGTGCCAACATCTGAGTCAGAAGGTCGGTCTGAGCCAAGAGCCTCATCTGAGTGGGACGCTGAGACTAAGCTGTCAGCACAAAGTCCAGACTCACGATATGTTGTCCCATCTGTAAAACAAGCTCTAAAAAACCCAAAAATCTGCCCACTCTGCCAGGGAATGAGCAGGGCAGCCTACAATCTTATATATCTGCACAACAGTCGAAAAAGTCACCTATGAGCAATTAGAAGCTTAATAATACCAGGTACAGATACAGGATTTAAAAGTATACAGTCTTTATATTTCAGAGACGCAAAGCCAAACCTGGGACTCGAAACCCAAATCCCCTATAAAGGCTAACCTGAAATTATTCTGGAAAGGTGTTTCCGTAGCGCAAGGCATCTATGGTTTCCAAAGAAAATAATTCCCACTTAAAATAAGCCCATAGTCAAAAACTAAAAACCACCAGGCCCAGTGGCTCATGTCTGTGATTCCGTAACTTTGGGAGGCTGAGGCAGGATTACCTGAAGCCAGGAGTTCAAGACCAGCCAGAGCAACATAGCAACACCTTATTTCTACAAAAAGTAGAAAATCTTAGCCAGGCTTGGTGGAACATGCCTGTAGTCCCAGCTACCTGGGAGGGTGAGGCAGGAGGTTCCCTTGGGCCCGGGCGTTTGAGGCCGTTGTGAGCTATGATGGTGCCATAGCACCCCAGCCTGAGTGACAGAGCAAGACCCTGTCTCTAAAACACACGAAGAAAAAAAAAATAAACAAATAAGAAATAAGCCACAAAAAGATAATCTGAATATATAACTAATAGGGGAATTAAATAATAACATGAAAGTGAATTTAATATACATGTGTTTAAATGTTCAAAGAAATAAAGTAAGAAGTAAAAGCTGTAAGTAAACTCAAGAGATTGAGGAAAAAAATATCTATAGATTCGGGGAAAGGAGTTATGGAAATCATCAACACAATTCTTTGAAATAAAATATTTAAGGTAGAGGTTGGAAAGTAGCCCAGACAGCAGAAGGAGGAACTGGTCAATTATTTAGATCTAAGGAAATTATCTAGAATGCATCCCAGAAAGATTAACAGATAGAAAATATTTACAAAGAAGTGAAGAGACAGGAAGGATAGACTGAGGCTCAAACATACACACACCAGGGATTCTAAGAGGAAAGAAGAAAAAGTATGATAAAAAGAGGTCAGCATTCAAATCACAACAGCTAAGACTTCTCTTTCCATTGAAAAGGGACACAGATCCTTTTATTTAAGCAACTTCCATGTAAGAAACAACAAGAAATCCACACTACATGATTGTGATAAATAAGAATAAAAGAAAAAAGAAAATGCAAAAGCTATCAGAGAGAAAGGATACTACGTATGGTACTAAAGAACGGATGCCAGACTGGCCATGGGGTTTTTATTAGTGCCATAGATGTTGATGTTTAATATCTTAAAACACTGAAGAAAGAAAGCTGCCAATATAAAATTCTATTCCTGATGTTGATGTTCTATTCCGTATTCCTGATGTTGATGTTGATATTTAATATCTTAAAACACTGAAGAGAGAAAGCTGTCAATATAAAATTCTATTCCAGCTAAATTGCCTTTCAAGGGTGAAGGAGAAGTGAAGACATTTTCAGGATGCAAGTACACGTGTTTACTACTCACAGATCCCTACTCAAATTCATCAGAATGGTGTGTTTCTATCATAAGAACTTGAGCTAGTAATGAAGCAATGGTAAACAGAGAAATTAATAAACTATGGGTAAATCTAAATATTGACCATAACAAATTACTAATTTGGGCGGCACCTGTGGCTCAAAGGAGGAGGGCGCCAGCCCCATATGTCGGAGGTGGTGGGTTCATACCCAGCCCCGGCCAAAAAAAAAAAATTACTAATTTGTGGAAGAGTAAGATAAAATTAAAATAATAATAAATATAGAAGGTAGTGGAGGAGGGCTATGGGAATTATCCTCAGGTCTATTGTATTACTTAGGAGCAGGATAACAATTTTGATTAACATTAGAATTTGCTAATTAGAGATGTCAAAATTTAGCTGTAACCACTATAAAGAATAGAAATAGAATATTTAATCTCTCTTTTTTTTTTTGAGACAGAGTCTTACTTTGTCATCCTCGGGAGAGTGCTATGGTGTTACAGCTCATAGCAACCTCAAACCCTTGGGCTTAAGTGATTGTCTTGCCTCAGGCTCCCAAGTAGCTGAAACTACTGGTGCCCACCACAACATCCAGCTATTTTTTAGAGACTTAGAGACAGGTTCTTACTCTTGCTCAGGCTGGTCTTAAACCTGTGAGCTCAGGTGATTCACCTGCCTCAGCTCCCCAGAGTGCTAGGATTACAGGTATGAGCCAGCACACCAGGCAGAATGTTTGTTTATTTATTTTATTTTATTTTATTTCTTGAGGCAGAGCCTCAAGCTGTTGCCCTGGGTAGAGTGCTGTTACATCACAGCTCATAGCAACCTCCAACTCCTGAGCTCAAGCAAGTCTCTTACCTCCACCTCCCAAGTAGCTGGGACTACAGGCACCAGCTATTTTTTTTTTTTTTTTTTTTTTGGTTGTAGATCAAACACCCAGCTATTTTTGTTTTTGGTTGTAGCCGTCATTATTGTTTGGCGCGCCTGGGCTGGATTCGAACCCGCCAGCTCAGGTGTATATGGTTGGTGCCTTAGCCGCTTGAGCCACAGGCGTTGAGCCCAGCATGTTTATTTATTTATTTATTTAGAGAGACAGAGGTTCTTTTTGCTGCCCTTGGTAGAGTGCCATGGCATAATTGCTTACAGAAATCTCAAACTCTTGGGCCCAAGCAATTCTCTTGCCTCAGCTTCCCCAATAGCTGGGATTACAGGCACCTGCCACAAGGCCCAGCCATTTTTAGAGATGAGGTCTTGCTCTGGCTCAGGCTGGTCTCAAACCTGTGAGCTCAGACAATCCACCTGCCTCGGCTTCCCAGATGCTGGGATTACAGGTGTGAACCACTGCACCTGGCCTCTGGTAGAATATTTAATTTCCCAACTGGTAAAAGGGGAATATACAATGAAAAGGCTTAAATATATTTTAGAAGCCAACAAGGAAAGAAAAATCTAAGTATAGAAGTTCCATAGTAAATTATAATAGACAAAAGGTCCAAATAGATCAAGAATTGCAATAAAAGCACTTATACTAACATACCCCAATAAAACAGAAAGTTTTTATCTGATTAGATTTAAAGAAAAAAAAAATGGCTAATGCTACTAAAAAGCAGACAACCCAGAAGTTCCAGATAAATGGGTGGAGGCAGAGCTACAAACCAAATTCCACCAAAAGAAAGCTGAGCTGGGCATAGTAATATTCAGCCATGCTTTAGCATGAGTCACCGAGAAAGAAAAGGCCCAGGAGTGCATTTACACACACACCCAAATCAGAGACAGGGAATGAGAGAAAACCAGAGGCAGCTTTAGCTGTCTAGATTTCTTAGATTTCAGAAATCTAAAGCTCTCTGCCAGTAAATTTGAAAATTTAGAGAAAATTGGCCAATTTATAGAGAAACATCAATTCCCGCACTGACTAAAAAAGAAAACAGAAAAAGGAATAGTCAATACATCATGAAAGACCTTGAATCAGTCGTGTGCCTCCCCAACCCAGCGCTACCCCAAACCCACCTGTCTTCTTGTGTCTCCACCAGTTAGTTGTTTTTTGTTTTTGTTTTTTTTTGCAGTTTCTGACTGGGGCTGGGTTTGAACCCGCCACCTCCAGCATTTGAGGCCAGCACCCTACTCCTTTGAGCCACAGGCACCACCCACCACCAGTTAGTTTTATAGGCATGTTTTGCTTGATTTACAGAGAAGATCTTGCTCTGTCGTCCAGGCTGGAGTGCAATGGTGTGATCATACATCTCACCGCAGCCTTGAACTCCTGGCCTCAAGTGATCTTCCTACCTTGGCTGGGACTACAGCATGAGTCACCATGCCCAGCACAACAGGTAAGTTTTATTTTTTTACTTTTTTCTCTATTTTTTTTATTAAATCATAACTGTACATGATTGTATTTATGGGGTACAATGTGCTGACTCTATATACAATCTAGAATGTTCACATCACACTGGTCAACGTATCATTCACCTCACTCAATTGTTGTGTTTAGTCATTTATACTCTGCTGTTAATACATTTGACATGTACACTTGCAATATACACAATAGGTGAGGTCCCACCGATTACCCTCCCTCCACGGGTCTCCCCCATTCCCTCCCCTCACCCTCCTCCTGCTCCTTTCTGGGCTATAATTGTGTTTCATCTTTCGTATGAAAGTGTGTGTGGTTATATATTGATTTCCTAGTAGTCCATCAATAGGTAAGTTTTAATGAATAGTTCTAGAGAACAAAAAAGAAGACAAACTATTCTTCTTATTTTGAGAGGATAATATAATTGTGATATGAAAATTATAACAATAAAGATAGCTCAATCTCACCAAAGAGATTTTAGCCCAAATTCACTAAATAGAATCCTGAAAAAAACGAATTAAACAGTATTAAAAATATCTCAAGCACTACAATTTATTACAAGACTTCAAGGATGGCTTAAAGTCAAAAAATCTATCTTTGCAATTAATCTTATTGTTTTAATACAAGAGGGAAAAAAGAT